TAGCCATGGTCGTAGAACAGGGTAGGTCCAGTGTGAGTTAGCAACCCGTGAATCTTCTAGCAAGGTGCAATTATTATTATTATTATTATTATTATTATTTATAAAAAGCCAACAAGTTCCGTAGCGCTTTACAATGGGTGGACTAACAGACATGTAGTTGTAACCAGACAAGTTGGACACACAGGAACAGAGGGAGTGGGGAAATTAAATTAGTGTTCCCACCAGCTCTCCTGAGTGATGTCCCATGGGAATATTTATTTATTTATAAAATATTTTACCAGGAAAAATACATTGAGATTTCTCTCGTTTTCAAGTATGAATTGGTGGCAAAAAAAAACTGCATGATACTACATACTTTTGCACATATTACCAAAAATCTCCACTTATATAAAACAATGTAATCTCTACTTTTTTTGATTGTGATAGAATGTCATTGAAATTCCACTGCTGCCTTGGCGACTTCTTTATAAAAAAAAACTTTCCATCTAAAAACCTTAGCTCATGTGTACGAGACATGAGAATTTGAAGTGAATAATGACAGTAGAATCAAAGACAGTGAGAAGCAGTCAGGCCTGTTATTCTGGCACTATGGCATGTCCCCTCCTACCCTAATTTGACAATCCTGTGCTTCAGCTACAGAACGAGATGAGCAAAAACTCTCTGCCCTGCAGCATTCTCGAACACCCCAACAATCAACACCCCAATAAAGAAATGGCAGACATGCATAACGCATAGGATGTCGGGGGACTGTATATTCAAATGGCTTGCATCCATGATACAACAGACAAAGAATTAGATAGAACACAAGTAATTATGTGCGACTACCTCAGCGAAAAATGATTTTTGGCTGCATACATTGGAAGTATTTTGTGCTGGTATACCTGTAATGAGGGATGAGACAAAGCAAAAGACGTATATCCACACCGAACTCTTGAAACTACCAGTAAATTATAATGGAGACTTTTCCATCAAGGTGATGGTTTATTACATGAAAGACAACATACATGGCAGTGTGCAGACTATATCAAGTAATAAAAAATTAAATAAAACAAAATAAGAAAAAGAAACATCCTCATCCACCTGAACAAAGCAGAGAACGGTGAAACAGAAAAAAATCTTAAACTCTAATGACATAATGCATTTCGCGTATATTACATAATGTTTCCTCAGCTACTGTTATTTCCTCGTGTCAGAACCTAATACCTGTGTTCCTCCATTTTGTTCTCCTCCGTCCATGATGTCTGCAGTTTGCTGCTCTGCGGGATTCTTGTGGCTGATGGAACATTGTGTAACCCGCACCCATTGCCAAAACGTGCCAAACAGAACACTTCCCATTATGGCCGGACTGAGGAAAAATAAGGCTTGGGCATTTTCTAATCAAAGAGGTTCAGTGATAGGAGGTTGGACCAGAGGGAAGTGGGGGGTGTTGTGTAATAACCAATGACAAGCACATCCCACCAAAACGAGCATGTTAGTTTAGTGCTTTTCCAGGGCAGCCCATGCACAGAGCCCCGCTAGAAAGCTCCTGAATGGGAATAAGGCCCTGTGTTATGGGTTGCGCTGTTTGTGACTTGTCTCTGGTGTCTTTATAAGTTGAAAACCACAGGACAAACAGCCAGGAGAGAGTGTTGTGCATGCTTGTGGTATTCTGTGTGTGTGTAGTGAGCTATCTGTGGTGTGGTGTTTTGTGTTTCATTTGTGTTGTGTTTGTGGCATGTGGCTAGAGGCTGTAGTGTGTGTGGCCAGAGGCTGTAGAGCGTGATCGTGTGTGATGGAGCTCTAATGCTCAGACTGGGTATCCCCTCTCCCCTGGCCAGCTGGAGTAATAATAACTTTGTTCCAAACATCGACCGAGGCTTGATGAAGGATAAAACAGGTACCATTTTTATTAGGAAACTGACAGCTATTTATACACACATTCCCAACCGGGGGTCATCAACCAAAACAATACAATTCCACCCTGGCACTTGGGTGTCTGGGACTTAACTTCACCACAGGACAGATAATTTAATAAAGTACCAGAGACCAGGGCACCTAACAATAATAACCCCAAAACAATGTGTTTCCCCCCAGTTATTCCCAAGTTTTATACACTACGGGATAGCTCTAGGTTGACAAACAGTGAAAAAAGTACGGATCGGAGGTGTCAAGCACAAGTAATCATGGATTAAAGTTTAGCCGTGCCGTGCCCGTCCTCTGATCTGACTCAGAGTTCCAGGAGGTTTGCAGCTATAAAAACGTAAGGAGAGCAATAAAACAGGGTGCAAGAGAATACTGAGAATGCAGAACAGCTCAAATAGCCTACCCCTCAGTGTGTCCCCGCTCAGGTCTCAAGTTAGTTTTGGTTCACCTTTTGCCATTTTAAAGAGAAACTAGGCCTTTGCATATCAGATTGATCCTACCAAAAAGGGCGGTCGAGATCCAAAATATAGGCCAGTCCACTCCACAAGAGAGAAATACAGCAAGCCCAGACGATCATTTCAGCCTTGTTAGGCCTCGTCAATGAGTCAATACCTCTAGGCACAGTGAGCAAAGTGTCCACGTGTGAATTAGCCTTTAAACTTCGGGACAATAAAGGTCTAACTCAAAAGCAAAACCTGCAAAGTGACAGGGATACTTTAAACCATGAATTGCAGAGAATTATCTAAATCATTGATCAAACTTTAGGAAAAATCCATCTGACTGATAAAACTATCCAATTTGGCTTTTTCATTATTTTTGTTTTGGCCTAAGGTTTTTATGTCAGGGTCAATTTTCCAAGAAGTGAACAACGAATTACTGTGCTTTCTGGCTAGAGATTGGAGATAGGAACTCCTAGACCACAAGCAATAGTCGATCTAATAGCCAATTTGTGCTACATTTACCCCTGTGTGTAAATATAAAGGTTCCTTTGGGTGAGTCGAAACCTTGTTTGATAGTTCATAACCCTTGCCGTGTACAGATATGCGTTGAAATGAAAAGGTGTTGTCCCTCCGGTAACATACTGTTTTGCAAAGTTAGGGCCCCAGACCTGTCCTCCCTATTCGCATCAAAGTAAGTCGCAGAGCTCGTTACAAGGAATGCAAAAATAACATACAAGCAAGGGATATATATTTAGACACACTGTAACAAAAGGAGCAGAGTTTACAATCTAGAGGGGAATTCTACATAGAGACAAAAGGATGTGGAGAGATAATATAGATTCAAAAGACGTAAGAGATGACACACTGGGTTAAAACATGTTATACCATTATATTGGTAGAATGATTGACAGAAATGTTTCAAGGACAGTACTTGTTCCTTAGTAAAAATATCAGGGGGATTTTTTACTGATGAAGAGGTGCTGCCCCTTTAAAGATATTGTCGGTCACTGAGAGTCCACACAGGGTATCACTTTTGAATCCATTTTATCACCTGCACAGCGTTTCCGTTTTTCTTTTAATTTATATGATTTTAGTGCTGATAAAAAACACAAAACATTGTTACATTATGCCAGGGGTGCACATAATAGAGGATATTTAGTTCCTTCGCTCCATCTCTAAAACCAGTTACTCCATCTCTATGTACATGACGGCCCATTCTTCAAAAATTAGTTTAATGATTTTTCTATCAAAATAATGACGGTTTGTAGTACCTATTGTTCATTAGTTACATGCTATCTCTTTGAATAAATTTGGGAAATCTCTCGTATTAGACTCTTGCCAGTGTTAATGGGGTCTATGTTATATTAGGACATTAAATGCTGTTACAGAAAATCGTTTATTATGAGCAGTAACCATGGCAACTGATGAATATGACTTGGGACCAAGTAAATTATAAGCTTTGTCTCCTTACCAACATTTTCAACTGTAAGTTCTCTGCAATACTAATAAATATTGTTATTTATGAATTTATCCAGAATCTTTAAGTGGTTAATTTTATTTAATACAGAATTATGTGTCTTTTATTAAGCATGATTGTTTATTAGTTAACTGTAGGGTTATAGTAAGGCTATGGTTACTGCCCCTTAAAGGGATACTATAATGTCAGGCGTACAAAGCTGTATTCCTGGCACTGTAGCTCCCTGTGCCCCCCCTTTGAATCAGTGCTTTCCTATCTGGAAAAATCTGATGCTGGAGGTCCTCGTGCAGAGCGTGAGGACATCCAGCGTCAGATACCGGACCACTGTGGGCAGACTTAGAGCTGCAATGTAAACATTACAGTAGGTGCAAAAGGGACAATACAACCAGACCGCTTCAATGAGCTGAAGTAGTCTGGGTGCCTACAGTGTCCCTTTAACCGTAGAGTAGGTTTGAGCTATGCATGTCTCTGTCTGCCTGAGACTGATGGGAGTTATACTCTCTAGGAAGGAGGTGTAATTTGCAATTGTCGCAATTAATTCACGTTCTCTCCTGATAATGATCGGCCGGCAGAGGAGATGAGTAAACTGAGGGATGCTGTTTTTGTCTCCTCAATCCCTGCTTTGCTGTTGTTAAAATGGCGCACTGCGACGTGCCAGTCTAACAGCGCGTTACAGAGAATAATACGCAGATAGCTTCACCAAGAGTATAGTGTGGGGTTTGAGACACGATTTGCTAAATAAAAATAAATGCAGATCATATAATACATGATACATATATAAATATACGTAAAATAGCAGATGGAATTTATATCTTGTAATAATACCCTTATTGGACTAACAGAATTTTGGAATGACAAACTTTCGGGAGCATTTCTCTTTCTCAAGTCTAAAATGAAATGCAAAAAAGGTATTCAATTATACAAACCATTTTTTGTTTTACATCTGCATCACTGGACTAATACGGCTACAATTTATACTCGAACACTATAGGAAGGTATTAGCAATCTAACATTTGTTATCAATAATTTGCAGCGCAGTTCTCAGCACATCATCGCCTCTGGCTTGCTCTGCAGGCACACAAATTTCCCCATTCTTGTTGGTATTCATCTTTTCAAAATTATTCTCCAAAAGCCTCAGGGAGGAGGAGGGGTAATCTGGGACAAAGCACAGAATGGGAGGGGGGAGGATGACTAGGGGGTATTTAATTTGAGACCTGAATGTCACAGTTCACTGCAAGCTCAGACCACAACAGAGGTGACAAGACCAGCCTGTTCACTGCAAAAAGGTTGGTATATACAAAATTATTCAATTCTTTTTTCATCTGCTTGGGGAGGGGTTTAATTTAAAGGAGATAATCTGAGTCAGGAGATCCTCTTAGAACAGACTACAGGGAGAGCAGAGAACGTGTGAGCCGAGCGCATTGCGGTGCGTCTCCAGATTTCTTGTGATTTGCACCTGTGCAGAAATATTATTATTATTATTATTATTAATAATAATAATTTAGAGTTTGCTAGCATGCTGTGACAATAGTTGAGTTGGAGATTTTTTTCTTTTTCCAAATCAGCAGTTTTTGCCCAAATTTTGCAAATCGAGTTTTCAATTCAACGCAATTCAGTATTTAGTGAATATACACCTATTTTGTAACAAACAAATGCATTGATGTATACTGCCACTTAAACAGGGAACGGTTTCCATTCTGTGATACTGGATAAAAAGTTTTAAAAGGCGATCGAGAAATTAAATGTTATCCCTCCCAGGTTAAGACAATGCTAGGGAGTAATTGCGAAACAAAGCAGGGGAATTATTCAGGGCTTATTTTTACGTAATAAATTATATTATGCATTCTTTAAAATACACACCACGTGTATTCTGTGTGGCCTAAATAGTATATTTTCAAACTGACTAGTATTGATACATTACATACATAGATGTGTCAGTTACATAGAGGTAACAGGTGTACTTAGCACTTTACAGATTACATTACAGCAGAGGGAGGTACAGGTAGCACAGAACTTATTTATATAGCACTAACTGTAATGTACTTAGCACTTTACAGGTTATATTACCACAGAGGGAAGTACAGCAAGTATACAGTGTATGTAAATTTATATAGCACGGACAGGTGTACTTAGCACTTTGCAGGATATATTACAGCAGAGGGAGGTACTGCAAATATACAGTGTATGTAAAGAATTGTTTTAATTATATAGCACTGACAGGTGTACTCAGCACTTTGCAGGATATATTACAGCAGAGGGAGGTACTGCAAATATACAGTGTATGTAAAGAATTGTTTTATTTATATAGCACTAACAGGTGTACTCAGCACTTTACTGGTTAAATTACAGTAGAGGGAGGTACAGCAAGTATATACTTCAATTGCTTACAGCTAACAGGAGTCTTTAGAAATACAGGGGTATATTGATACATTAGGATAATTCACAATATGAGTGAATATGGTGAAATAGACACTGACTCTTCTAATCCCTGGCTTGGAGTTTTAGAGTGAATACCTGCATCACCCCTGTAACATTTAAAGGGATATTATAGACAGAGCTAACAGTGACCTACATGGTGTCCCTATCAAAGAGAGGTGAATGGAGAGTCAGAGTAGATATTATATGCAGAATACAATAGTTGTTGTAATATAAACCTGATACAGACATTTTGTTTGCTAGGAAGCCGTATTTAAAACTATACCACTCTAAGAGCATTAACAAACAGGAATACATTTTCAAGTTAAAATAGTAAACATGTTAACCCATGCCGAGTCACATCCAGCCGCCGAGGGACATACCCTCATATAACCACTGATAAATGTGCATTTCTCTTTTTATCTTGAACCCATCTGCCACAACATTTAACCACAGCCAGCGCCACATAATATCGAGGCCTACGTCGTGAATAAACTGTAAATTAAGTGATATCTCATAGATACCATTAACATACATGTATATCTAAAGACAGAGCAGGCTGCTTGCAGCGCAGGGCGATACGTTTGCACCGTTAAAATAATAAACATGTAAAAGTATTAAGAGCTTATTCGGCGATCGTCAATTAAGGGGTTAAGCGTTACACCGTATCCATAATTTGGCAGGAATAACATATGGCATACGTCTGGAAGTTGAAAGGTAACTTCGCAACCGATTAATTCTTAGTATTATTTGGGTTCGGTGCCCCTCGTAGTGACCTACTGAAACTATACTTTATAAACCCCCAAACTTTTATCAATAAATTGATGAATTGTCAGTTTTATTTTTTTCTCCCAATCGGTTGGATTGACAAAAATGTCTGTCCATATATTGTAAAGCGCTACGGAATCTGTTGGCGATATATAAATGGCGCCTATATATACGAGCCTCTGCCCCTGTCTATGATAGCTAGTGTAGGCTGAGAGTGCTGGGAGTCCCTCACATGGACTCCAGTCACTGCTGCTCTACTATAATGCCAGCAGGAGTCACAAGGCCCCTCCCAGATTCCATGCTGAGGGCGGGGACACGCCTCCAACTGCACTCGGACACGCCCACTCCATTCTGCAGTTTGGGCCTTTCTGTCCCTCTCCGGCTTCCGTAGTCAGTGCCTGGTTTCCTCTGTGAGCTGGGGCTGTGGATATGGCAGGATGTACCTACCTATAGTACAGGTATGTATACCGTGTGTGCTGCCTGGGGTCCTCACACTGGCTCTCCATGCTGTGCTGGGGTTATACAGTGTGGCTGAGTATCAGGGGGCAGCCATGCCTCACCACGTGGGTTATTTCTCCCATCATGCTCAGCCAGAACAGTGGGAGAGCATCACAGAGATCATAACTAGCTAACATCAATACCTGGGCTACACTAGGGGCAGCCTGGGGGGGAGATGGGGGGGCTTCACTGCAACTCCCATCATTCTCAGCCATGTGCATATTAATGTATATCATCTAAAATCAAAGTGAGGGATCAGACCTAAATAAGGTGAGGTAGGTAGGGTACAGTAGGTCACATGCTGCAGGGTGCCCGTCCATTTAGTAGGCATCACATGGCTGATCAGTAATTGGGGAGGTGAGATGTGTTGTGTGCCTTGGGTATTGCAGGGTGCCTGTCCCTTTAATACAGAGTACATGGCTGATATGTGGGGTGCCTGTCCCTTTAATGCAGAGTACATGGCTTATATGTGGGGTGCCTGTCCCTTTAATGCAGAGTACATGGCTGATATGTGGGGTGCCTGTCCCTTTAATGCAGAGTACATGGCTGATATGTGGGGTGCCTGTCCCTTTAATGCAGAGTACGTGGCTGAAATGTGAGGCTAAATGGTGAGGGTGAGATATGTGGGGTGCCTGTCCCTTTAATACAGAGTACATTTCTCATCATTGATGCACTGACATGACAGCTTATTAGCTTCAAATAGTTTGACAGTCCGTGACAGTTCTGTTTAGAAAAAAAACAAAATCACCACACACCACTGTCAGCCTTTAAATTAGAGAATATCACATTAACACCATTTGTTTATCACCCTTGTATGTTGTGTTACAATACTATTGTGTCAATTTTGTCTGAAATTCAAACTGACTTTCATTTTTGGGGACAAAATAGCAGACATGAAGATTTGGCTATTATTTTAAATTCACTTTTAATAACTGGAAAATTCACACTTGGTATAATATAAGTATGCTGGATTTTGGTGGATCCCCTTTATTCAATGAGGCTATTATCTGTAACGTTTCTTAAACCAATGTTTATTCATTTATTTATTGGTAAAATATATATATATTTTTTTTTAACTAGAAACTTACAACTTCATTTAAAGAGCAACAAAAGGCATAGCACTTGTGCATTTATTACACCCGTGAAACAATGTTTACCGTTAAGCCAGGGGCAGGCATACTATGTCCTTTCAGATGCCATGGACTACATCTCCCATGAACATCTTCCAGCCTTTTGCAATAATAGAATGGCCAGCTATGCCTGCCCTTGATAAAAACTCTTATTACAATTTGATATGAGGCTCATAGACTTAGTCTTTTGTTATTTTATTTTCTAGGTACAGCAAAAAGCAGACGTAAATTATGGTAGGTTAGGCCCAGCGATGGCTGGTATGTATAAGGGTGTGGGCTAAGGGCTGTCAATAAGTCCATAATGTTATGTGCGTAAGTGTGTCATGTAAAAGATTACACGGTGACTATCTGTAATGGTGGAGTACAGTAATATATTTTTCATTGAAAATGCAAATGTAAATAGAATATAAATCACTAATGTAATGGCATATGACAGTGACAGCCTAAAACTTTAAGCTCAGCTGTACCTCAGATCCGAGCTTCTTTGATGTCTGCGCACGCCTTATGTTCCCTGAATTACTTCTGACATTGTTTTGGATATTGGCCAGTAGCCCAGGCCATTATTTTATAATGGCCGTATATGTCAGAAAGCGGATATGACTTGTATAAAAGTCCTCCTAGCACACTGTACACGTGTTTATACTTTTACATACCTGTATGTGCGTTTATTGTATTACTGTGCCTTTATTACATCTTTCTCTGTACCCTTCAGGCTCCAGTTCAAACAATGGCTGAGGGACAGCCCAGTGATGCTAAGGGGGCCGTATTGATGGCCAGTGACTCTCTCCCTGAGGGCACTCCACAAGTCAGAGGGTACGACTTCAATGCAGGCATCAACTATGATCAGTTGTTGCAGAGCTATATGTACACAGGATTCCAAGCCACATGCTTCGGGCAAGCAGTGCGAGAGGTCAACAACATGGTGAGATGTGGGAATCGTAAGGAGGAGTGGTTGAGGGATGATAATGCAGAGGAAGGTTTTAAAAACTAATGTGGAGTAATGGGGTGAGTGGCAATAAGCGAGTTAGTGTGTCAATAATGATGGGGTGAAGGTTTTTAGTATTTTATATAACGGAGTGCTTAAAGGGACACTGTAACATCTACAGTTTACTGTAGTGGTTGTGGTGACCGTAGTTCCTTGGTGCCATTTTAGTATTAAGTGTGGAACTGTTTCACACTTATGTGTGTGCCCTGTGCATGTGCCATCCACGCTCCCTCTTCACATATATTGCTAAAGTTCAAACTTCCCCATCAATTTCGTCAGCTTGTGAGACAAATTAATTGACCGATGAGTGTCAGTTCCTGGGACGGACCCAGGTAAGTGTCGTACCATTTAAAAAACGGTTTTACTCTTAACGATGGACTTCTGGCACCATAACCACTACACACCGTAGAAAGCCATTTTAACAGGCTAGAGGAGAAAGGATTGATTGTCATTGATAAGGAGTGTAATGTAGAGCATTGCACCGCTGTGTTATCTCCATTATATTTAATGTGGTTATATTTGGAAGAGACAACTAAACTGTTCAGAGTTTAATTTAAATACGCAATGTTCCTTATGCAGATCGACAGCAAGCTGTCCTCCCCTGGTGGTTGTACTATCTTCTTGGGATACACCTCGAACCTGATCAGCTCTGGTGTCCGGGAGAGCATCCGGTACCTCGTACAGCACAAGATGGTATGGAACAAAGTAGACAAATTAATCACTGTTTGCAGTATTATTAAGCAATTTCACTGAGACACTCAGTCATTGGGTATTGACCTTATTTGTTTTAAATATGCACAATTCTGCTTAGAAATAATGATCTCATCGTTTAATTTCTGCTCGATTCCGATTTTCTCCCGGATCTATTAATTCTTAGCCGTGGTCATGTGATACAAGGCTAATAAACTTTGTTGCCATAGCAGCAAGCATGCTTTTTTTAAGGTTTGTACACCCTTTTGGTTTGATGATCTGGAAAAATGGATACAATTTGTCACCTATTTAAAAAAAAGCAATCACAGGCACTAGCTTTGTTTGGGAGACCTAGTGTGACATTGGGCTGGTGTAATACCAGAATATAATTAGCAATGTTTGTTTTTGTGTCTATCTATCTTGCATTCTGATGCAAGATTTGTGACAAAATAGATAGTTTATTCAGTCTTACCTGTCAGACGTGCTGTGTGAACTGTGCAGACTGGAATGGCATGCTTTGTAAATGTGCCTACGGCATTGAATGAATTAACAGGTAGCATGAACCAATTGATGACTGACAGGAGACGTGACCAATAGACAGACAGACAGAATAATAAGGGCACTGTGCTCAGGATAGCCATTTGCCTGTCCCATCCATGTTTAAGTTTTCTGATACAACTCATCTTTAGTAGTTGGACATAAAGGTTATAAAGGGCATGATATTTAAACATTCTTTTATACCAGTAATACCTGCATTGTTATTTTAGCTGTAGTGCAAAACAAAGCCTGTCAGTTAAAAAGAATGGCCTGTACACCCTACCTCCAGGCAAATTGTTCTGTTATTGCAAGCAATATATTTTAAATAGCTTCTTGCTTTATTTTTGTGCCTTAAAGAATACAGTGAATATACTAACTGAAACAATACTCCCCCCCCCTTTTATTTTTTCATACTTACTAGAATTGTCATTAAGTCGGTAGTCAATACTTTAAACACAGATCTGCACACACCAAACAAGCCATGAAATGTGCTTTTCCCACTGAAATCTCACATTTGCAATGCTGTTACTACTGCAAGGGATTCTGGGTGGGCAAATGCAAATGAGTAAGACAAAGAATCACCTTTATTTGTCTCATAAATTCCACTATATACATAGACTCCTTGGAGTATGTCTGCTATACACAACAGCTTTTAAACGCTACTCGGCATATACAGGGTTCTTGCACCATGCCCACTTCAAAACATTGAAGTGGTCATGGTTTTTAGCGTAACCCTTTTATGCTACAGTGAGCAGCCATAGGGGCAGCTCTCCAACTTCTGACCCATTCTAATGGCTCCCATCTGGCCATTGAAAAGTATAGCCAAGGAAACTGTGTATTGTAATCCTCTGCAATATAGTCCTTGATATCTGCATTTGTGACCCGGCTCTTTTGTTTCATGTGTGTTTGTCTTTTCTTTATAATCTATTTATAATACAGAGTGGTACCAGTGAATGTTATGGTGTCGATTATTGGGTGATAAAAATATTTGTGTGTGTCCATACAGGTTGATGCAATTGTGACCACAGCTGGAGGTATTGAAGAAGACTTTATTAAGTGTTTGGCACCCACCTTCTTAGGCGATTTCAGCTTGAGAGGGGCTGATCTTAGGCCACGCGGTATTAACAGGTAAGCACAATGTGCCTCTCAGATTTCATACTATCCTTTAAACTGGAGAAGTGTTTGCAAACGACATTACTGTATAAATAGTATAAATATAGTGGTTTCAATGCCATCTTTAAAGGCTAGATACCAGAATAACTTATCTCCAAAATGATTGCATATCAACATACCTTCTGTTGATGTCATATTCAAAATCAGTGATAACCAGTTCATGGATAGACTCGCTGTCATGCTATACAATTTCCTGGCCTACTACGAGAAGACAACTAGTCCCAATAGCTCAATTTTTGTCTGTATATTTATGGCCAAGCATGATCTGCTCCTCTTGTGGTGGATTTATACGTCTCCTACTTTTATGTGTGTTTAAACATTCTTTTTGTATATTTGTTTTAATCTAAAAGAAGTGCATATTTTGCCGTGTTGCATTGTGAGTTTGCACTTGGACGTTCAGTAAAGATTTAAAAAATATATTTTGTAACCTTAAATGTTATGTCAAATATGCTAACAGCAAATTTTACATCTGTGCTTCATGCTTATTCTTCTAATAAATTGTAGGTGAGCTTGACTATATCCCTGGTTCAGCTAAATGAATGGGATGAATAATAAGTTACAGAATAAAGAATTTTAATGCTTCCAGATTTTTCCCCTATGCCTTACACATTGTTTACAGCATCAATTAACTCATTATTGAGGGCTACGGGGCAAGGTGTTGAACTTACTTTCAGTTAAAAAATAAATAAAAATAAAATGGAACTTGTCCAACACAAATGGACATTTTTTTTCAAAACAGAAAATTACATGGTGCTAAAGATGACCGATCATATTCTTCAGATCGTTGATCTATCTCCTTATAGCATCATTAGTACTGAGCGCTCATATCTTGTTTATCTTCTGCAGGATTGGAAACCTCCTAGTACCCAATAATAATTACTGTCTCTTTGAGGACTGGGTCACACCTATACTGGATCAGATGGTGCTGGAGCAAGACACAGAGGTGAGCACTATGCAGACACTGTTTGGGACATTTGCTGAGAATACTTTTTATTGGAAAATGGTTTTTAATTTTCGCTTTAACCCCTGCAGGGTACTAAGTGGACTCCATCTAAAATGATTGCTCGGCTGGGGAAAGAGATCAATCACCCAGATTCTGTATATTACTGGGCGCAAAAGGTATGTACTTTAGAATATCCATATGGGAAACTATGGAGCATGGAGTCTGTCCCTCCCAGCACAGGTTGACAGACAGGAGGGAGCTATGGGACATGGAGTCTGTCCCTCCCAGCACAGGGTGACACAGACAGGGGAGAACTATGGGACATGGAGTCTGTCCTTCCCAGCACAGACAGGAGAGATCTATGGGACATGAAGTCTGTCCCTCCCAGCACAGGTTGACAGAGACAGGAGGGAGCTATGGGACATGGAGTCTGTCCCTCCCAGCACAGGGTGACATAGACAGGAGAGAGCTATGGGACATGGAGTCTGTCCCTCCCAGCACAGGTTGACAGAGACAGGAGGGAGCTATGGGACATGGAGTCTGTCCCTCCCAGCACAGGGTGACACTGACAGGAGCAAGCTTTGGGACATGGAGTCTGTCCCTCCCAGCACATGGTGACACAGACAGGAGGGAGCTATGGGACATGGATTCTGTCCCTCCCAGCACATGGTGACACAGACAGGAGGGAGCTATGGGACATGGATTCTGTCCCTCCCAGCACATGGTGACACAGACAGGAGGGAGCTATGGGACATGGATTCTGTCCCTCCCAGCACAGGGTGACACAGACAGGAGGGAGCTATGGGACATGGAGTCTGTCCTTCCAAGCACATGGTGACACAGATAGGAGGGAGCTATGGGAGATGGATAGCTTTCCTTGAGGGAGGTATAAGATTCAGTCTTTCCCTCCCAGCACAGGGTGACACAGACAAGAATAATGCGAACAGGCGTTTAATCGCTCATGCAGCCCTCTTTTTAAAATGTATTTATTAGTATGTGACATTATTACCCTCTCCTTGTAAATAGAATGACATCCCTGTGTTCAGCCCGGCTCTTACTGATGGGTCTCTTGGAGACATGATGTATTTCCACTCATACAAGAACCCTGGCCTGAAGTTGGACATTGTAGAAGGTGAGAATCATCATTATGCTGTGAGTTGCAGCTCTGTACCAGTGATAGTCGAGCTATTTCCCCATGATACTTAGCAAGCCATTCCGTTCACTGAGCATCATGGGAAAACAGTCCACAACAGCAGTGAAGGTCAACATTCTATAGCTGGTCTGCAAAGACAGCGATGTTCTTACATAAGAATATCATAAAACCAAGGCTCTGAAAGACCTCTGCTACAGTTTTTCTACTACAACCCCGATGTACAATCACTAAATAATATCAGTGATGACTGGAATGTGTATGGTCAGTGCGTATCTTTTTCACAAGTGACTTTTCTCTCCAGATATACGCCGTCTGAATTCTATCGTAATCTTTGCTAAGAAGAGTGGCATGATCATTCTGGGTGGGGGACTCATCAAGCACCACATTGCCAACGCTAACCTCATGGTGAGTGTGAAGATGGCTGCTTAATCAGTTTACTATTATGATCTCAGTTCCAGGCTGTTCATTTTCCACACTTCTCTTGAAACCCTACGTTTCATTTCATTTATTTATTTAATTTTTTGTTCCAGAGGAATGGTGCAGATTACGCCGTTTATGTTAACACTGCTCAAGAGTTTGATGGCTCAGACTCTGGAGCTAGACCGGATGAAGCTGTATCATGGGGAAAGATCCGTATGGACGCCAATCCCGTCAAGGTCAGTTTTCTAAAAGAAAAATGTTTTAACTGCTTTTCTTTCACGCTCATATCACCGAAAATCAATCTACCCCATTGTCATTTGAAAATAAGTAATTTCCTTAAGTGTGATGCATAAGCTAAAAGGGACATGACTTCTATAAAAAAAAAAAAAAAAAGTTCTGTAATCAGAGAGGATAACTTTTTTAATTGGGTATGGACTATCTCATATAAAACTCCCTTCTTCCATATGACAAGGTTTAGCCAATACACAGGAGTTGGAGGCCCTTACACTCCACAGAACTCCATTTAGTGAAAATACTTGTTACATAATAAGTGTTTCTCTTACTTTTCATCTAATACCTCTCTCCTTCTCTCTACCTGCAGGTTTATGCGGACGCCACTTTGGTATTTCCTCTTTTAGTGGCACAGACCTTTGCTCAGAAACACTCTGATTTCTCCTCTAAGAAAGTGGAACAGGACTGAGCTCACACCCTTGTGGGAGGTGGGAAGTGTGGTTGCATGAAGAGGCAAAGACCGATTGGAACTAATCCTCCTGCTTCTCTAATAAAAAAGTGAGCCTTACTGTTTTCTGCCCGTGCTAGAATCCCCAGCTGCTCACCGGAACCCTGTGGTACACTCTGCTGAAGACTAACAGTCAGCGTGTACAGTGTGGATAAAGATTTTGATTGTAGAATATATCATAACTCTCCAGCATACAGATATGTATATAAACAAAGTGTATATATAGCTATACCTTCCAATTGCTCCATGCCTCTCGTTCCTTGTAAAAGATGTATTTGTCCATTTCCCTGTTTTGTCGGTTATTTAAGTTGTGATGTTTTTGTGTATGGAGCCAGTGGGTGGAATGGGACAGATGCTTGGCCGAAGGTGGATGAAAGGATCTGCAAGAAACATTGCAGAAATTTCCAAAATAGGATGTATTTTATTTTGCTAATGGATAAAAAAAACAAACACACTTTGTTGGCAATAAAGTTCAACTAAATAAACATGTAATTAAACAGTGTTTGAGCATTCTCTGCTGCTACTGGCGTCTTCATGTGATTCTCCGCTCCAGACCTGGAATCCACCCTCGCTTGCCGTCAGCAGACACGGTTCCGTAGGATGAAATGAGAGAGATTGAACAACTCCTTTACAGACAGGGAGCTTGAGAACTAGTGACCCCTGCAGGAAGGGAGAAACAAAACTTAACTAAGCAAGTTCCATACATCCCAATACAGTATTTCTCAAGCCTATCTATTAGGTCATATTTAAATTTATCTAGTCATATACATTTTTCAAAAGAGTAAAGAAACAGATTAGCATTTTTTTTTTTTGGTCACATCTCGTTTGCCAACAAGATCGAGCATCAATAAAAAAACAAAGTTCTGTTAAAAAGCAAGAGGGGTAAAGATAAAGACTCAATAAGAACGACAGGCAGGAGGAAGCTATGGTACATAGTTTGTTCATCTCACCACAGGGTGACCAAATTGCTTTAATAACTTACTGTTTAACAGAACTTTTTTAAATTTGAAAAGCAACATGATCACTGCTAAAATAGAGAAATGGGGTAAATATATTAATGCCATAAAAAAAGCGGATGCTTAAACATGATTAGGCACAAGAATATGGAATAGAACCATATTTTATTTAGCTGGAATTAGTACTTTGGTGTCTGGGACAAAATAATATTCCATCAGGTCACTGCAGCCCTGTGATAGAGGATGAAGACATTTTTACATTATGTTACACAGCAGTTAATCCATCCTCAGATCTGTCCAATCCTTACCTCGACCAGGTCCCAGAAACATACTGTGCCATCCTCCGAGCAGCTCACAACGTGGGTATCTTTCTCACTGAGACAACTGTCCAGTTTATAGCTCTGGTTCTGATGCCCTTTGTATCTATCAAGAAACCAGAACATTGAAATATAAACACACGATGGGTGGAATTATCATTAGCAAACAGTTCATTGAAGTCCTATACATACGATGGGAAGAATTATCATACTAGTCATGTCTCTGGGACTGAGTCAGTGAGCAGTCCCACATAGGCACACGGTTTATAGCAGACTATGTCGAGCTCTAAAATTAATTTAAAGGGACACTATAGTCACCAGAACAACTACAGCTTATAGTATTTGTTCTGGTGAGTAGAAACATTCCCTTCACGCATTTTGCAGCACACTGTTCAGAGAAAAAGCAGTGTTTACATTGCAGCCTAGGGACACTACCAGTATCCACTCATCAGATGGCTACTAGAGGTGCTTCCTGGGGGGTAAAAAAAAAAAGAACCACCTTATATTCTCTTACTCTTTTTTGATTTGCCCTGCTTGGGACGCACCTTGTCGGCATACTTACTTCGATGCCCGTATCAGAATGGAATGATGTCATGTCTTGTGCTGGCTAGGGAGTTTCCATAGCAACAGCAAACATGCGCTGTGGTTGCTATGCTTAGGAGAGCAGAAGGACCTCTTTTTTGCTCTCCATTGTCAGTCAATGCCTCCGCCTTCAGTGTCTGCCGAGGCACTGACTGACAGCTGGGAGAAAAATGAAATCATTCCAGTACAGTTATCCTTTAAATCTGAAATTACCACTTTAGCAAAAAACCCTGAAAGTTTAAAATTTTACACCAAAAACAAAATTCCTCTATTTTCTTCTAAAATTGTAAATTCATTTAGAATGTTCAGTTTTCACAGAAAGTATGGGTCTACGGCTTAAATGAAAGTCCTGACAAGGTAAAACGATTTTACCATCCTGAGTGATAGCAGATGTTCTACAGCAGGAATAGGCTACCTCAGCACTCCAGATGTTGTGGACTACATCTCCCTTGATGCTTTGCCAGCATTATAGCTGTATAGGCATTATGGGACATGTAGTCCACAACATCTGGAGTGCTGAAGGTTGCATACCCTTTTGCTATAGGCTCAAAGAGTTTATATTCTAAGAGACACAGGGTCAGCTATGGAACTCAACATTCAGCACTCTAGATGTTGTGGACTACATCCCCCATAATGCTCTTATAGTCATAATGCTGGCAAAGGATCAGGGGAGACATAGTCAACAACATTTGGAGTACCGAAGGTTGCCTACCCCTGGAAAGAACACTCTCCCATTGATAAACTGTCTTACAAGACACCTGCCAATTGAATATTTCACAGATATTACATAACTCCTCTTGTAACAGACAGTATGTGCTCATTCTCATTCAATGCATCAGCCCTTTTTCGTACAGGACATTATGACAGATCATACAAATTCCCATTACACCCTAATGATGAAATACAGGCCCAAATCCAACGGTTTGTGGTCTCCAAACCATCAATTCATTTATATCAAACACAGGTTAACATGTCTAATTGTGTAAGAAAACTTGCGTGTCATAATGCAGACTCTCAGCTGGTGTTTGCGAAACATAATTCTAGGGATTGAGTCTGACAGCGGGTGGCCAAGAGGCCTTCTCTTGATAAACCTCTATCTCTCGTTTTCTTGTTAAAAAAAAAAAAAAAAAAAATGGTTTGAACATCAGGACCAAGCTTTATATAAAAATATAGTGGGCGCTGGACTGGAGTGGCATATAAGAGAATGATGGTTGACGGGCAAAGTGTTAGTGTGGCACAATATAATCTGAATTTACCCATAATTCTAGAATGATTAGTCAAGGTTCACTTTTAATGACATACTTGGTGTCACCCTGTACATTATGAACGTATTCAGCTATGCATTGTTTTGTCCTTGTCTGCCTTTTAGCTATTCTATTGACATACCTGTAAAGTCTATAGACATGGAGGTTCCACATCATTTATAGATGACAGTTAAATATTATATAGTATAGAAATAGTTATTTGACAAGTCCCTGGTAGGAGACACAACAATAAACTGCACGAAACAGTTTATTTTAATTTTTTTAAAGTTATTTTTCTAATATAATAGATAGTAATTAAATTTCACTTCCAGAGAAGTGACGCTTCCCTGTTTCCTCATCCCAGGAAACTCGAATTTAACCTTTTCTGGGTTAAAAATAAAATATCCCCAGCTGCTTTGACTACTTTAAAAAACGTGCTCTTATTTCTTACGCCATGCCTATGTTTCTAAATGTGATTACAGAGTTTACTCCTGCTGTTGTGGCATAGTAGGCGTTTGTTCTTCCTGCACAGCAAAAATAAAGAATTAAAAAAATATATAAAATGAAATATCCCATCTGCTGTACTTTTGTGTTAGGACGTTACTGTCCGACATGGCCTTGGGCATTACACAGAATTGCAATATGAGCACGTTTGTAACTGGTATTTTTGCCAGCAGTGCTGCACTGTAAGAGTTTGCTATTTTGCTCATTTTGCATGTCAAAGCATGTAAATCAAAATAAAATACACTACAATAGACTTTTATTTTTATTTTACGCTGTGCTAAAATGTAGAAAATAACCGTTTTTCTTTAAAGAATAAAAAACTAAGAAAAATTTTAACGGATGCACAAATTAAAATGCAATGTGGATTCTCACTCATTCTTTGCAGCGTACTGAATTTCTGAACGACACAACATAATGACCCAATTTTAGCCCTTTTCTATGAAATGGGAATCCTAAATGTTCATATTTCTTTGCTATATGTTCGATATATATTTGAGCAGTTGATGGCGAAGCTACACGTAGCCAAGTTTGCTGTTTGTTGTGTGTAACAGAAACATGGTGCCTAATCCCTGACTCTGGATCCAGACCTGATAGAGGACCTGGTTGGAGACAACAGTGACACAGCGGGAGCCAGAGTGCTGGGCACTTACCCACCCCTGGTGCAAAGGTGTCTGGGCTAAGCCGAGCTAATGGCTAAGAGGGAGGGAAACAAGTCCCTATGTATATAATGGGGCAACCAAAAATGAAAAGGGGGATCTCTCTGTAGAGGAGCTCCCTCAACCTAAGGGCACCTCTAGATAGAGGGTACTGTTAGCTACCTACGTTGTAAAGTATAAGTATTCCGATAAGCAGGGGTCTCGGTGCACTCGCAGTCAGCCATACGGACAAGTGCTTACCGGTCAGAAAACCATAAGATGATAGTACTTTTTGACTGTACTACAGGTTTTCAACTTACCTTTTCTCAATCGCCGCTCTCTTGTCGCAGCGGCTGGCCACGCCACCATGGCTTTTATCAATATTGATGACTCCAAACATTCCAACGCCTTCCTATTGGAAAGCTAATGCACATCAAAAGCAGCATTGTGCCAATCAGCGTCTCTTTATAGAGATATATTGAATTATCGTCTATGGGAAGCGCTCAGCGTATCTATACACAGTGCCTCTACGGGCTGTTTGCATGACTGCACCTAGATGTGGTACTGTCCAGCAATATAAACACTGCCTTTTCTTTGTAAAGGCACCGTTTACATTGCAGAGTCTGAAAGGTTAGGCTACAGACTCCACGACATAAGACAGATTTCTTGGAGTGACAGTAGATTTTATGTGAAATTATGCCACATATTGAAAAATAAAATCCAAGAAAATATATTGAGCTCTCCAGAAATGCATCCGATTGGAGCAATGGTCAGCTTTGCATAGTTTTAAATATTTCTAAATGCATTATATTTGTGACACTCTCAATAAAAAATAAAAAAAAAGCATAAATGCTCTTTGTAAAAAATAATAAATGCATAATGCATGAATTAGGGGTCACTATCAGATTCATGTTTCCTTTTAATATACGCCCCCATGTGGTCATTTGTGGAGTTACATTTTCAACACCACTCGTCTCTAATTCAGTTTAAGGAGGAATATCAGAAAGAGAATCACCTGGAAACAGTAATCATAATTTTATTCCTTTTTCAATACAGCAAGATTTTAAAGGACTCACCCTTTCTCTAAGTGCCATTAGAATGCAGTTTACATAGTGTTCATCACTATGGCTTTGAATTTGAAACTCCCTTTAAATCCCCAACCATTAAAACTTTTGTGATTAAACCTGGTAAATCCTAACAAAACTGCAAAACGTTCACAGAATGAAATGTTGGGCAAACGGGTCAAAAGCAAGAGCTATATGGCACTCTTTAAAGGATCACTATAGTGTCAGGAAAACTAAGCGGTTTTCCTGACACTATAGGGCCCTGAGGGTGCCCCCACCCTCAGGGTCCCCCTCCTGCTGGGCTGAAGGGGTTAAAACCCCTTCAGCAACTTAACTTTTTCCAGCGCCGGGCTCCCTCGGCGCTGGTGACCTCTCCTCCTCCGCCGCCAGCGGAGCCGAATGCGCTTTGTGTGTGTGACCAGATCACATTTAAATCATCAACACAGAATGGCTTATAGAAACATAGAATGTGACGGCAGATAAGAACCACTCGTCCCATCTAGTCTGAAATGTGGTTTACTCTTTCACTATGGATTTTTAATGCTTTCACTGTGGAAACGAAGTACACTTCATTACAGATGCCCCAAAGACACCTTTTACATAATGAACATTATACCAAAGAGTCCTAATGGTAATGGATCACAGCTTTTATACATCAACTGGAAGTCTACCGTTTGGCTACTCCTAGTTAACTTGCGCGGAACATTGCAAAATAAATAAATGAATACATACATATAAAAAAAAAAAAAACAACCCTTTCTCTGCTAAATTTTTTTTAAAAAGAAACGTCTTCCATTTAGGGGGAAAAATAAAACGTATTTCTAATCCAGTGGAAAATACAAAAATCACAGTTGTCAAAAATAGACAAGAAAAAAAAAACCTCCCATCGTAAATGTCACGATTAACTCATAATAAAGTCACACCAGTACCGTAAGCAACAATGAGAGTTTTTGTTTGTTTGGTTTTTTTCCCCCCATCTTTTGCATTTTGGGGCTGCCGTGAGTTTGTATTTTTACTGGATTCAGAATTCTGGTAATGTTTTAAATGGAAACAACTTGTATGGCATGGAGCAGGACTGTTCACACATTGTGGTAGCACTGAAATTAAAATACGCATGTTTGGGTAACGCTATCATTTGTCAATCGCTCAGTTTGCATCACTTACTCTCCCAGTAGTTCCCCCGTGTCTTTATCCAGAAGGCGCAGAGCCGAGTCTAAGGACGATGCCAAGAGACACTGTGCGTCCTGGCTGAAGCTTACACACGTGATGGGACCTGCACAGGGACAGACAGCAAACAGTGACACAGGGTACAATCCGTGCAGTCACTCTAACGTTCTCTCAATGAAAGCCCCTGACTCTGTATAGATCAATATCTGCTATAACACATGGCATATTCATAGAAGCACTCTATTTGTTTGTCTGCAAAGAATCAATGCTCTGATACATTTGACCTATCCCTATTGCCGCCCATGTAGAATATTTTAATGATTTCAAATAATCATGCATAGAGATATCTCTGAATGTGTTCCCTGAATGTTTGCAGTCTCTGCTGGTCTACTGCCCCCCCCACCCCCCTTGCATAATGTAGCAGAACATCTATATGTTAATAATGAACTCCAACATTGTATATGTCACAGTATATAATACACTGATAATAAACATGTTGCAGTGTATAATTATGGAAAGTATCAACATATTGTAATGAACTTACTACATTATATAATACTTGCGAGTATCCCTGCTAGGTACCACTTTCTGTTGTGATCCATATAAAACACAGTTTCATTGGTCAGGATCTTAATGAACTCATTAGAGAGATGTTTTAATGCTCCAATACACAAAAACACAGACATTGATGTGAGACCATCTGACTGTTCTCCTGCACCATGGAGACAAGTTAATTAATCTGCACTAACAAGGACTTACTGCCAACATAATCTGCACACATCTCCCCTTTCCGGAGGTCATAGCAACGTAGGTGCCCATCTACAGACCTAAAGAAAGAGATACTGGCATTCATGTCTGTGGAAAAACACATGGTGAAAGAAGCCATAGGACTTGGAATATGTCTGTCCTGACCCCTCATGTTGACAGATTCAGGAGGGAGCTGTGAGTCATGGAGTCTGCCCCTCCAAGCACAGGGTGACACAGACAGGAGGGAGCAATGCAGACATGGAGTCTGTCCCTCCCAGCACAGGGTGACACAGACAGGAGAGAGCTATGGGACATGGAGTCTGTCTCTCCCAGCGCAGGGTTACACAGACATGAGGTAGGTATGGGACATGGAGTCTGTCCCTCCCAGCACAGGATGACATAGACAGGAGGGAGCTATGCAGACATGGAGTCTGTCTCTCCCAGCGCAGGGTGGCACAGACATGAGGGAGGTATGGGACATGGAGTCTGTTCCTCCCAGCACAGGGTGACACAGACAGGAGAGAGCTATGGGACATGGAGTCTGTCTCTCCCAGCGCAGGGTGACACAGACAGAAGGCAGCTATGGGACATGGAGTCTGTCCATCCCAGAACAGGGTGACACAGACAGAAGAGAGCTATGGGACATGGAGTCTGTCTCTCCCAGAGCAGGGTTACACAGACATGAGGGAGGTATGGGACATGGAGTCTGTCCCTCCCAGCACAGGGTGACATAGACAGGAGGGAGCTATGCAGACATGGAGTCTGTCCCTCCCAGCACAGGGTGACACAGACATGAGGGAGGTATGGGACATGAAGTCTGTTCTTCACAGCACAGGGTGACAAAGACAGAAGGCAGCTATGGGACATGGAGTCTGTCCCTCCCAGCACAGGGTGACACAGACAGGAGAGAGCTATGGGACATGGAGTCTGTCCCTCCCAGCACAGGGTGACACAGACATGAGGGAGGTATGGGACATGGAGTCTGTTCCTCCCAGCACAGGGTGACATAGACAGGAGAGAGCTATGGGACATGGAGTCTGTCCCTCCCAGCACAGGGTGACACAGACAGGAGGGAGCTATGCAGACATGGAGTCTGTCCCTCCCAGCACAGGGTGACACAGACAGAAGGCAGCTATGGGACATGGAGTCTGTTCCTCCCAGCACAGGGTGACATACACAGGAGAGAGCTATGGGACATGGAGTCTGTCTCTCCCAGTGCAGGGTTACACAGACATGAGGGAGGTATGGGACATGGAGTCTGTCCCTCCCAGAACAGGGTGACACAGACAGAAGAGAGCTATGGGACATGGAGTCTGTCTCTCCCAGCGCAGGGTTACACAGACATGAGGGAGGTATGGGACATGGAGTCTGTCTCTCCCAGGGCAGGGTTACACAGACATGAGGGAGGTATGGGACATGGAGTCTGTCCCTCCCAGCACAGGGTGACATAGACAGGAGGGAGCTATGCAGACATGGAGTCTGTCCCTCCCAGCACAGGGTGACACAGACATGAGGGAGGTATGGGACATGAAGTCTGTTCTTCCCAGCACAGGGTGACATAGACAGAAGGCAGCTATGGGACATGGAGTCTGTCCCTCCCAGCACAGGGTGACACAGACAGGAGAGAGCTATGGGACATGGAGTCTGTCCCTCCCAGCACAGGGTGACACAGACATGAGGGAGGTATGGGACATGGAGTCTGTTCCTCCCAGCACAGGGTGACATAGACAGGAGAGAGCTATGGGACATGGAGTCTGTCCCTCCCAGCACAGGGTGACACAGACAGGAGGGAGCTATGCAGACATGGAGTCTGTCCCTCCCAGCACAGGGTGACACAGACAGAAGGCAGCTATGGGACATGGAGTCTGTTCCTCCCAGCACAGGGTGACATACACAGGAGAGAGCTATGGGACATGGAGTCTGTCTCTCCCAGTGCAGGGTTACACAGACATGAGGGAGGTATGGGATATGGAGTCTGTCCCTCCCAGCACAGGGTGACACAGACAGGAGGGAGCTATGGGACATGGAGACTGTCCCTCCCAGCACAGGGTGACACAGACAGGAGGGAGCTATGGGACATGGAGTCTGTCCCTACCAGCACAGAGTGACACAGACAGGAGGAAGCTATGGGACATGGAGTCTGTCCCTCCCAGCACAGGGTGACACAGACAGGAGGGAGCTATGGGACATGGAGTCTGTCCCTACCAGCACAGAGTGACACAGACAGGAGGGAGCTATGGGGCATGGAGTCTGCCCCTCTTACTATGAAGTTAAACAAACCCTGATAGGATTTCATGGTCAGATACTTTAATGCTGGAAATTCCATCTTTTGCTTCATCCATAATTTGAATCGCATCTGGTCTACGTGAACGACAGTCCCAGCACCTTATAGAAGAATCAATAGAGCCTAGAGCGCAAGAGTAACAATTAATGGCCAGTAACATGTAATAAAAATTAAAAATAAACTTATCACAAATCAAATTCAAAGTATTCTTTCAGAATTATTGATTACAGGTATATTCGAGGACCAGATTTTGAGGTCTGATCTGTTATTAAAGAATCCAGGGTGATCATTACCTGATATTATTACTGTGGATTCCTCATTAAACTGCACGCAGTTCACTTTCTGCAAAAGGGATGGCTGTTAGTGTAGTATGAATTGCACAAGTAAATAATGATAGACAGAAAAGGGTTGTGAACGTGCTTACCCCTGCATGTCCTCGAAATTTCCTTATCACTTGCCCCTGAGCCACATCCCACAAAATGACAGTCTTGTCTGAGCTGCAGGAACACAGCTGACTGTTATCACATGACCTGCGGGAGAATAAGGCGCCATATTTAAATAGCCATGACATGGCATTCAGTGGGGTAAATTGTTATCATACGGGTGATTTGCTTTCATTATTGGAAACAAAAACAATTGACTACACAAGTAAAAATCAGTTGGTTATAGTCATTTTTAACTTGAAGCATTGTTACTTAATGTTTTCTATAGCCGTTACAAAATGCTGCAGATGTTTGAAATATATAATTACCAAAATTCTGTCTGAGAATCATGTATACAAAGTTAGCCATTCGTGTCAAATAACATGAAAACACCAACACCTTTTTTATCTCTCACTGCAAAGATAACACTCCCGCGAGATGCCATTTTGTAACTGAACTTGCAGAACTGTGAGGTTTTAGAATTTTTTATTGTCGTGATTAGATTACATACAGACTAAGGTTTGTAAATGAAGACAAGAAATATTAAGAAAAGCTCCCTTGCTCAAGATAAATATAGCAGAAGGATGCTAATTATGACTTTCAAAAGAGCTACACAACTACATACTTGTTTGTTTAAATAGTAGAGAGAGAATTAACACAATGTGTAATAGCTAGATCAGACGAAAGTAATTCGTTTATATGAACAGCACTATAACTGGATCACGCAAATATAAACCAGTGGAACGGGCAATAATGTGGAAATATAAAGAAATAGTATAATATTGCTTAATAGAACAGAATAAAACAGAGGCAGCCCCCTTGCACCAGATCTTCACATGAAGCAGTGATATCATCTTGTTGGTAGAACGCAGCCCATCTGCCCCATGGCCTTCAGCGAGTGAGAATACAGCCTGCCATGGTCTCTTTGTGGGCCAGTCAAAGTGCCAAGGATCTCACTCTACAGGCATAGAAAGCCATTGCTGCAGAGAGGGCTGTTGGTTTCGGCCCAATAGTTCCATCATACTCCATTCCTCCAGGCCGAGACTGTTACAGGAACAGGCACATATCTTCCACTGACCTCTCCACGCCAAGTGACAGGGTCAAGGTCCCCTGAAGATACTCCAGATGTTTTTTGCAATTTGAACAGGTTGAACCCCTGGCCTAGAGAGAAAGCAGTGACCAAAACACTGCCTGGATCTGACTCAACCGCAATTAAGGTAAGTTGGGGTTCATGTTTGCATATGCGTTGCCAAAACTGCTCACATGCAGCAACAAATGCGGAGTAGAATGCTTCTTTCTAGTCCCGCATGGAGGTCTCTTCTAGCAAGGGTGAAGTAGCTTGTTAACTTCTCCTCGTGTAGCCAGATTGCCTTAGCAGAATAGTGTGTTACAAGTAGGTAAGCTTAAAGGTTTTATAATTTATCAGTTCAATGGAGAGAAAGTCTCCACCTTATCTGAAATATACCTTGTGTACATAGATTGGCTAAAGAAATACAATGTATACATACCATGCAGATATCACATGGACACAGTCAGTGGCAAATCGTAATTGCTTTAGGTCACTAGTCACAATTAAGATTCAAAGACCAGGGTCTCAAAAGCTGGCTTAAGGTAATTTCCACAATGGCCAAGTTGTCTTCTGCTACAGGGGTTACTGATGTATATTCCCAGATTTGCTCTTACCCACAGATCCATACTCTCACACACACACATTCTCCACTGTATTGGCGAACACTCGTTGGAGATTATTGCCTGCGATGGTCAAAACTAATCCCCATCCTTCTTAAGCACATTCCCCAAGCCATCCTTCTTAAACACATTAAGTTAGGACCTGATCAAGGCCACCAACAATTTGGGTTACAGAGGCTGTCTAGGGAATTTGGACATACACCTCTATGCTGTAACTATCACGGTTAAACCAGGAAAGATGGCTGCAGACAGCATGAACATCTTTAGAGGGGCCCCTTTGAGATGGCATTTTGAGACTATTTCTCTAGACGGATTATTTACTAAACTCCAGGGATCACACCTTAACATCTGGTTTTACAAATTTGATGCAATTCCATTATATTTCAATCTAGCTGTAAATAACTGTCTAAGATTTGATTTAAGAAGATGGTTCTTCCTTCAAAGTCTTTGCACCACCCTACAGTAAGTCAAAAACTGTGTCTTTTCTTTGTGATGATTTTGTTTTTATTTTTTTTGACCAATATTCTAAACATCTAACTTTGGGCATATTGGCAACAGAATGTCATCATAGAATTAAAAAAAAACACTTCCTGTTTAATGCGCACTGAAAAGCTGTGAATTGCAGGCTCTGATTGGCTGCTGACATCACATGATCTTGATCTCATCAGCATTATCATTTAAACTGATTTATGGAAGTTCATTTTCAGGTGACAGCGACACTTTAAAAGATAAAAAGTGATTTATCCTGAATGGGAGCTGAATAGCCCAAAATGAATTTATAAACTCTCACCAGAAGATGGCAGCAAACAGTTCATATTAAAGGAACACTATAGTCACCTAAATTACTTTAGCTAAATAAAGCAGTTTTAGTGTATAGCTCATTCCCTGCAATTTCACTGCTCAATTCACTGTCATTTAGGGGTTAAATCACTTTGTTTCTGTTTATGCAGCCCTAGCCACACCTCCCCTGGCTATGATTGACAGAGCCTGCATGAAAAAAAAACTGGTTTCACTTTCAAACAGATGTAATTTACCTTAAATAATTGTATCTCAATCTCTAAATTGAACTTTAATCACATACAGGAGGCTCTTGCAGGGTCTAGCAAGCTATTAACATAGCAGGGGATAAGAAAATCTTAATTAAACAGAACTTGCAATAAAGAAAGCCTAAATAGGGCTCTCTTTACAGGAAGTGTTTATGGAAGGCTGTGCAAGTCACATGCAGGGAGGTGTGACTAGGGTTCATAAACAAAGGGATTTAACTCCTAAATGGCAGAGGATTGAGCAGAGAGGCTGCAGGGGCATGTTCTATACACCAAAACTGCTTCATTAAGCTAAAGTTGTTCAGGTGACTATAGTAATAATATAAAACCGCTTTCCAACTCTCGAGGTATTTCCTACACCTCTATTTTTCAGTTTCTATCAGATCGCACAGTGCGTTTCAGAAAGAGAGAATATTTGCAGCTTCCAACTACAGAACTCCACAGATAAATAGTGAGATTAACAAGAAATTAACAAGGGCTGGTGGTGTTATATAGACTTTGATGGCATATACTGTAAAAGCTATATCTTGTAATATTTGCACAACACAGACAGCAAGCACGTGATTGGTGATAACTGATGTGATATGTCAAAAATAAGTGAATAAACCTTTGTATATTTATGTCAATATAGACATACTCACCCAGCCGCATCCAAGACCTCGTATCCATGGCCATTGTAGCTTTTCAGCATTGTCCCCTTGTGAGGATTCCAGAGCTTCAGGGATTTGTCACTGCCGCATGTCATGCAGTAATTACCGTCAGCTGAAAGAGACAATAAGCGAGGAATCGCCAGGGGGAGCGAAACATGCCAGGTTCTTCTATTTGGACCTTGTTCTGCTGCAATTACTTTTTAAACACATACAGTATTATTCACTAAAGTGTGGATGGCTGACCAATGGCACACGTCACATTGGGATCGCGGAGGCCTCTCTGCTGGCACATGAGCCAGAATTTCACTGGGGAACAGCGCTACCATGAGGGGGCACAGGTGGTTACATTAGGACATACCAGCAGCGATCACAGTGTCCAAGGATACTGCTGTCTCTATCAAAATCAGCAACATTTTAAAAGTGACACTCAACAATGCCCAAATACAAAAAAAATAAAAATAAAATAGTTTGGTAGATACACCCCCAATTAAAACATCTATACATTTTTTTTTAATAGGGGTATAGCTAAAAACAGCTTGCAAATGCTGCAGATCTCTTGTCTGCAGCTTTTGCAAGTTCTTTCCCTTTTAGCGAAGCCCAGACTTTCTATGTCTGTCCAATCACAGACTTCCCAATGCAGCTCAATGAGAAGTCTTTGGAAGGCAGGAGCTCCGCGTAATTGCTGCCTCTTGAATTTAGCTCCACTGACCTAACCAAACCAGGAAGTAACAGGAATGGTTGTCTGATTGAAAGCTAGGGGGCGTAACAAGGTTTAGTCATAAAGGTCCCAATTTATTTTGAAATCTGCACTTTTAGTAAAATGAAAAAGAGAGGACAAACTCTTTACACATTTCAGCAGTCTGCAGTGCCTACTATGACCACTTCAGAGATTTGAAGTGGTCATGGTGGTAGGAATCTGAATGTGGACTGTTTCTGTTAAACACAGCACATGCCCAGAACATACTTGAAAATGAGAGAAATCTCCATGTATCCTTCCTGGTAAAATATTATATAAATAAATAAATATTTTCTCATTTTGTGCCAGGGCTGGATGCACTTCCAGCACACATGACTTCGAAAGCCTGGATGTTTTATCTGAACTACCTAATGTCAAATCTGTTTTACATCTGTCAACAGCGTGCTAGCAACTGACGTGAAAACTTTTTCATAGAAAAGGCAATGTTTACATTACTGCTTAGTAACATCTCTAGCGGCCTTTACTAAGATAGCCACTTGAGGTGCTTCTTAGTCAAATGTTGCACCTGCGTTTGGCATCTCCATGCTCTGCATAGAGGTGCTGAATGTTCCTCTTAGAGATGCCTTGATTCATTAAATCTCTATGAGGAGATGCCAATTGGTGTATGCACAATACCTTCCAATGCTTTCCTACTGGGAAGCATTGGATTGCCTGAGATCATCAAGATTTATTATCTCAGCCATGGAGGCAAAACCCGCATGGTGTAAGAAAAAAGGTGGGAGTCAAATCCCCTTTCCCAGGTGATCAAAGGTGGGCTTGTCACCTAAACAGACACACTCACTGACAGACAGACACATATAGACAGAGAGAGAGTGTGAGTGAGTGAGAGTTTGTGTGTGTGTGTTAGACACACAAACTCGGAAATTATAATTTAAAAATAAAATCATTTTAATTTAAATCCACCCAGCCTCCGTACCTTTTGGAGAGCTAGTGTAAATTGGCTTTCTCTGAGGTCCTTGCTCTGCTCCCTAGCGCGTGGTTTAGTGTTGCTGGGGCAACACTTTGTCGAGCCTGAGTCCATCCTTAATAAAGTGGCTACACCAAACAACTCAACATACTACATTTAGAATACTTGTGAAAATGACATGCCATTATGGGGGCAATTTTCATTCTTAGAATGCCATGTTCTCTCAAAGGTGACATATGCCCAGATAAGCACTTTGACATATTTACAAGTTGTAAAGGGCATCTAATATATTTGGCCCTGTGACTTATTGAAAAACCAGTACATGGGGCTACTGGTATATTTGTGAGACAATGTGAAATACAAATGGAGAGGCTTTATTGCACTAACTCATATCAGGATTATGAAATCTCCTGTGAAAATAAAATTCATGTGTGTGAAAAAACACAAAAGAAAACATAAACCACTAAATAGGGCCAGCATTTGTGATAAAGTGGCTAGACCAAACGACTCAAATTATGCCATTTGGAATACTCTGGGCTGTCTACTTTCAAAATGATTTGACATTGTAGGGATCATTTTCTTTCCTGCACTGCCACACTGTCTGAAAGGTGGCATAAGCCCAGCAAATCAGTCTGGCTAAGTTCAATGTGTAAAGACAGAAGTGTGCAAGCCCTGTATTGACCCTGTAGATTGCAAGCTCTTGTACACTCACCATTGAACCTTACTGCACGCACAGCTCCCTGGTTACAGTCCAGTCTGCGCCTCAGCACCCGGGGTAGTTCAGGGGGTTTAGGTTTCGGGGTAGGGAAGGCCATGATAGCAATACCAGGGGTTAATCATACATGGGGTCTTTAATGGAGAGCGCAAACCTAAAAATACAGACACACAGATTACTATATGTACATTGACTGACTGAGGATACCAACTAAGAGCAACATCAGTAACACATGGTGATAATACAGGGTAATATACAGATACAGGTTATTATTATTATTATTATTATTATTATTATACAGTGACTGACAGTAACACATGGTGATAATACAGGGTGATATACAGATACAGGTTATTATTATTATTATTATTATAATACAGTGACTGACAGTAACACTTGGTGATAATACAGGGTAATATATAGATACAGGTTATTATTATACAGTGACTGGCAGTAACACATGGTGATAATACAGGGTGATATACAGATACAGGTTATTATTATTATTATACAGTGACTGGCAGTAACACATGGTGATAATACAGGGTAATATACAGATACAGGTTATTATTATTATTATTATTATACAGTGACTAGCAGTAACACATGGTGATAATACAGGGTAATATATAGATACAGGTTATTATTATTATACAGTGACTGGCAGTAACACATGGTGATAATACAGGGTAATATACAGATACAGGTTATTATTATTATTATACAGTGACTGACAGTAACACATGGTGATAATACAGGGTAATATATAGATACAGGTTATTATTATTATTATTATACAGTGACTGACAGTAACACATGGTGATAATACAGGGTGATATATAGATACAGGTTATTATTATTATTATTATACAATGACTGGCAGTAACACATGGTGATAATACAGGGTGATATATAGATACAGGTTATTATTATTATTATTATACAATGACTGGCAGTAACACATGGTGATAATACAGGGTAATATATAGATACAGGTTGTTATTATTATTATACAGTGACTGGCAGTAACACATGGTGATAATACAGGGTAATATACAGATACAGGTTATTATTATTATTATTATACAGTGACTGACAGTAACACATGGTGATAATACAGGGTAATATATAGATACAGGTTATTATTATTATTATTATTATACAGTGACTGACAGTAACACATGGTGATAATACAGGGTGATATATAGATACAGGTTATTATTATTATACAGTGACTGACAGTAACACATGGTGATAATACAGGGTAATATATAGATACAGGTTATTATTATTATTATACAGTGACTGGCAGTAACACATGGTGATAATACAGGGTAATATACAGATACAGGTTATTATTATCATTATACAGTGACTGACAGTAACACATGGTGATAATATAGGGTGATATACAGATACAGGTTATTATTATTATTATTATACAGTGACTGGCAGTAACACATGGTGATAATCCAGGGTAATATATAGATACAGGTTATTATTATTATACAGTGACTGACAGTAACACATGGTGATAATACAGGGTAATATATAGATACAGGTTATTATTATTATTATTATTATACAATGACTGGCAGTAACACATGGTGATAATACAGGGTAATATATAGATACAGGTTGTTATTATTATTATACAGTGACTGGCAGTAACACATGGTGATAATAAAGGGTAATATATAGATACAGGTTATTATTATTATTATACAACAGTGACTGGCAGTAACACATGGTGATAATACAGGGTGATATATAGATACAGGTTATTATTATTATTATTATTATTATACAGTGACTGACAGTAACACATGGTGATAATACAGGGTAATGTATAGATACAGGTTATTATTATTATTATACAGTGACTGACAGTAACACATGGTGATAATACAGGGTGATATATAGATACAGGTTATTATTATTATACAGTGACTGACAGTAACACATGGTGATAATACAGGGTAATATATAGATACAGGTTATTATTATTATTATTATTATTATACAGTGACTGACAGTAACACATGGTGATAATACAGGGTAATATACAGATACAGGTTATTATTATTATTATTATACAGTGACTGACAGTAACACATGGTGATAATACAGGGTGATATATAGATACAGGTTATTATTATTATTATACAGTGACTGGCAGTAACACATGGTGATAATACAGGGTAATATATAGATACAGGTTATTATTATTATTATTATTATTATACAATGACTGGCAGTAACACATGGTGATAATACAGGGTAATATACAGATACAGGTTATTATTATTATTATTATACAGTGACTGACAGTAACACATGGTGATAATACAGGGTAATATATAGATACAGGTTATTATTATTATTATTATTATACAGTGACTGACAGTAACACATGGTGATAATACAGGGTGATATATAGATACAGGTTATTATTATTATACAGTGACTGACAGTAACACATGGTGATAATACAGGGTAATATATAGATACAGGTTATTATTATTATTATACAGTGACTGGCAGTAACACATGGTGATAATACAGGGTAATATACAGATACAGGTTATTATTATCATTATACAGTGACTGACAGTAACACATGGTGATAATATAGGGTGATATACAGATACAGGTTATTATTATTATTATTATACAGTGACTGGCAGTAACACATGGTGATAATCCAGGGTAATATATAGATACAGGTTATTATTATTATTATTATTATTCCGACCTCCAGGTTACTCGGGTATAAACATCCCCCACGTGGTCTGACAGCGCTGTTTCCGGTCCCGGGAGGTCACGTGATTTCGCACAGCCGGTCCTGAGCCGGAAGTAGATCTGATCAGCCGGAGAGTCGTCAGCAGCCATGACTGGGAACAGCGGGAGCGACCCCCGGAGACTGGGCAAGGTGCAGAGGTGAGAGTCAGTGGGGGCTGGGAGTGAGGGTCAGAGAGAGTCTGAGTGAGGGTCAAAGAGAGAGTCTGAGTGAGGGGGAGGCTGGGAGTGAGGGTCAAGAGAGTCTGAGGAGGGGAGGCTGGGAGTGAGGGGTCAAAGAGAGTCTGAGTGAGGGGGAGGCTGGGAGTGAGGGTCTGAGTGAGGGGAGGCTGGGAGGAGGGTCAAAGAGAGTCTGAGGAGGGGGGAGGCTGGGAGGAGGGTCTGAGTGGGGAGGCTGGGAGGAGGGTCAAAGAGAGTCCGAGTGAGGGGGAGGCTGGGAGTGAGGGTCAAAGAGAGAGTCTTTCTGAGTGAGGGGGGGAGGCTGGGAGTGAGGGTCAAAGATGGTCTGAGTGAGGGGAGGCTGGGAGTGAGGGTCAGAGAGAGTCTGAGTGAGGGGAGGCTGGGAGTGAGGGTCAGAGAGAGTCTGAGTGAGAGGGAGGCTGGGGAGGAGGGTCAAAGAGAGAGTCTGAGTGAGGGGGGAGGCTGGGGAGTGAGGGTCAAAGAGAGTCTGAGTGAGGGGGGGAGGCTGGGAGGGAGGGTCAGCAGAGAGTCTGAGTGAGGGGAGGCTGGGGAGTGAGGGTCTGAGTGAGGGGGAGGCTGGGAGTGAGGGTCAAAGAGGGTCTGAGTGAGGGGGAGGCTGGGAGTGAGGGTCAGAGAGAGTCTGAGTGAGGGGGAGGCTGGGAGTGAGGGTCAGAGAGAGTCTGAGTGAGGGTGAGAGAGAATCTGAGTGGGGGGGAGGCTGGTGGTGAGGGTGAGAGAGAATCTGAGTGAGGGGAGGCTGGGGGTTAGGGTCAGGGAGAGTCTGAGTGAGGGGGAGGCGGTTAGTGAGGGTCAAAGAGAGTCTGAGGGAGGGGGGAGGCGTGTTAGTGAGGGTCAGAGGAGAGTCTGAGTGAGGGGGAGGCTGGGGAGTGAGGGTCAGAGAGAGTCTGGAGTGAGGGGCTGGGAGTGAGGGTCAGAGAGAGTCTGAGTGAGTGGAGGCTGGGAGTGAGGGGGTCAGGGAGAGTCAGTGAGTGGGGGGAGGCTGGGGGTGAGGATCAGGGAGAGTCAGAGCGTGATTGGGGTCAGGGAGTGACGGAGGCTGGGAGTGAGGGTCAGGGGGTGAGTGGAGGCTGGGAGTGAGGGTCAGGGAGTGAGTGGAGGCTGGGAGTGAGGGTCAGTGAGTGTCAGAGTGAGTGGAGGCTGGGAGTGAGGATCAGTGAGAGTCAGAGTGAGTGGAGGCTGGGAGTGAGGATCAGTGAGAGTCAGAGTGAGTGGAGGCTGGGAGTGAGGTTCATAGAGAATCAAAGAGTGAGGGTCAGGGAGTGAGTGGGGGCTGTGATTGAGGTTCAGGGAGTTTCAGAACATGAGTGGGGACTGGGAGTGAGGATCCGGGCAATTAAGAGCGTGACACAGAATGGCAGAAGGTATACTGGTTCTGACACTGGGAGACCGGCTGCAGGGAGTTTACTTTGTCTATGGAGGATCCCACAGTCTAGTGGAATCCTCCATAGACCTCAGTGCTGTACTCTCACAAGTGATGTCAGCGGACCCATTGGAAGAATATGGCGATGCTTGCGAGGGACAGGTCCAGGTAAGTAGAACTCCCCTTTATCTGCCCGTCAACTGGACTCCCAGGCAATGTTTGCCAATTCTGCAGACTGGCCGTGCTGATTTAAGACAGGGGAAATCGAGAGTAAATGCCAACCTGGGCCTCATATGGCCTTTTTTCTACATAACCGTTTCTTGTTGGTTGTATAATAACTCCTTTTGGCTTGCTACAGAGAAGGTATGGACTTACTCTTTGGTTTGCTATATTTTCAGATGGCTAGTGTAACCATGAAAGATGTAGTCACATCTTGGCACCAATCCATGATTGATTTGTCTTCTGCCCGCCCAAATTTACATAAGTGACGGTCTATTCCAAGCAAGTCTAAAACCCTAAAGGAGCATTATAGGAGATGAAGTCCATAAAATCTGGAGTGTCAAATGTTGCCTACACTATCACTATCATGTTACAATGCGTTGATGTTGCCTGTAAATGGAATTAAAGCCCGTTTTATGCATGCTTTGGGTGTGGAACTGTAATGTAAGTTTATCACAGCAGAAGTAGCTCAGTGGGATGAAGGGAGTGACATGGTGTTATAATAATATTAAAAAGCCCATCAGAAATTCTTATACAAATGGTATTTTACTCCAGAAAAAGTACATAACATATAGGACTCTTCTAGTCCTACCTGTTGGAGATGTAGAACCCATTCTCATATCTGGTAGGTGTGTGGGCTGCTGAGCTCCTACTGGGTTAGAGTTAGGGACCTCCTCAATACTTTAGATTTAGGATCCTTTCCTACATCCCTGGAGATATTTCTATTTATGGCCTTTCCACCCTCAACGCTATTCCTTCTGCATGCTCTGGCTATACATGTTGTTATAGCCGCCATGAGAGTATTTGCGTTACATTAGAAGAGTCTGGTTGTCCCCACACAAATGGAGCTGCACTCAAAACTTCCCACAAAACATGTATGAATTGATATCAAGCCTTACACCAGACCAGAAAAAGAAAACGATGGGATATGGGACCCTCGGAACAGGTTACATTATTGACCTAATCCTTGAAGCCCTGACTCTCTTCTACATTTAAACAAACCGTGCGTAGAGCAGAAATTAAAAACGCCAATCTTGGTTGCCTGTGCCTTTCTCTGATTATGAAATAAAACCACCATTACACCAAAATTGCCGTGTGCTAGGGTTTTCCTTTTGTCTTTTACTTAATCCTGGCTTGGGCAGTATACCTCTGCCCCCCTCATTTTTGTACATGATTTGTCTGTCTTCAAGGAAATGTTAGAAAAGTAAAAATAAAATACAATTTGCTTCAGATCTGAGGAAGAGAGGAAAAGCCTTGAAAGCTTGTCTTTTAAATATTATGTTAGTCCAATAAAAAAAGGTATCATTGCATATACTCTGGTATATAATTTATTTATTATTTCGTATTTTCGCCCCTCCGTGGTAGATAACGTAGGACTTTCATGATAGTTTTCGGCCTTTTCATCATGGTTTCCATCCTAAAATGAAGGTAAACTATGCATTTACTTTGGGAGACTTATCTAAAAGTGTCAATTTTCAGAAAGCAGTGATGTGAGATTATTTATCAAGGTTATATCCTGTTATGCAGGTCTGATTTATTTAGAGCCTCATATGGTCGGGAGGATGTTTAATTATATCCTGGCCAGGAAAACGGAGGCTTCTTCATTATGAATAGCCGTAGTATCACCTAACGTACAATTCGTGTAGATCAACTTACACTAGGTCCTTACCTTGAGTCACAATGACTGATTTCCAATGTGATACATTAATGGATCAGGTTAGATTATCCACCAGGGCCCCAATGCCATATGTTTCCATGATTCAAGCTGTTACACATAAGCCATGGATTTGTTATCCCGTTTTCAGTTCACGGCTGTCTTGTAAAAGCCTTAACCCTGTCTGTGCTAGCAGGGGACCAATGCATAAATTTTAAGGGGAATTTTGCTCCCTCTATAATTAGAAATTTTATTTTGACACTGGGATGCTGATCCTATAGACTGTAAGCTCATTTGAGCAGGGTCCTCTTCAACCTATCGTTCCTGTAAGTTTTCTTGTAATTGTCCTATTTATAGTTAAATCCCCCCCTCTTATAATATTGTAAAGCACTACAGAATCTTTTGGCGCTATATTCTATCTCAGGATAAACCCTTTAAATCATTTAAATGTTTCTTGATAGAGTGATTTCCCTCCACTGAGATTTAAGTAAAAGCTACCCTATCCTGCAGGGTGTTTTATTTGTTTGTGTGTGCTTGGTAGTTTAGAAGTTTATGCATGGGAGGTGCAACTCTAAGTAGACTAGCTGGAACCACCGTGGCATTAGTCCTGATGTAAATCAAAGACATGCTTGGCAGCAATAATCACTTATTTATTGATCGCATTAGGCCAGGGCTCGACAAATCCCAGGTGCCAGGTCGCCATGGTGACCAGAAATTTTGCCCTGGCGCCTGTGATTTGAAGCCTTTTAGCTAAAGCCTCAGGATGTGGGAACAATGGAGCCAGCTGGTCAGCCTAAGCAGCGTGGAGGCGGCTGGTTCAGGGAGCGTGCAGGTGGATCATGGAGGAGGCCGTCCTGGAGAGCGTAGAGGCAGCAGGCTGGGGCAGCGCGTGAGGGAGCAGTAATCTACCTGCAGCTCCTCTCTGCTCCCTCGCACTGTATAGTGATGGCAGGAGCCAGAATATGACTTCATTCTGGCCCCGGCATCACTACAGGGAGCAAAGGGGAGCTGCAAGTAGATTACTGCTCCCTCGCACACAGGATGAGAGTAGCCCCACCAGACCCCAGGGAAACATCCATTCGGCTCTCCCAAATTAAAGTGGAAAACGTAAATTTTTGTGTGTGTCTGTCTCTGTCAGTGCTTGTGTGTGTCTGTGTCAGAGAGTGTCTTTCTGTGACTGTTTAGGTACCTGTACCCCACCGATCATGAGAGAGGTGTTTTTACTCACCTTCTTTCCCACGCCGTGCCTGTTTCGCCGCGACTTGTCCTGCCGTCATGGCTAAGATAATCAATCTTTAATATCTCCGCTAAACCAATGCTTTCCTATAGGAAAAGCATTGGGAGGATACTGCGCATGTTCTCTATGGGTAACATTCAGCACCTCTATGCAGAGCGTGGAGACGCTGAACAAAGGTGCTGCACACTGTACAGCACTGGCACAGGGCTCTCTAGTGGCCATCTGAGTGACTGTCACTAGAGGTGCCACTAGGCAGCAATGTAGACGTTAACATTGAAAAGGCTACAGGGACAAGCTATAGGCACTAGAACAACTGCATTAAGCTGTAGGGGATCTGGTGACTATAGTGTCCCTTTAAGAATTGTATTTAAAAAAAAAAAAACTGTCTCCTAACTTTTTTTTTTAGATGGCTCCTAGATTCCAAACAAGTTTGTCAAGCCCTGCATTAGGCCTTCCCCATAGAAAGGCTTTAAATCTATACTTTCCTCTGGGGTTCTGCTTGAATCATGCAAAGTTTGAGAACATACAGCGTTATTTCACTGAGTTAAACGAATTGACAGGAAGCACCACTAGAGGCAGTCTTAATACAGTAATGTAAACATTACAGGGATAGTCATTGAGAAAAAGTGGTCTGGGTGCCTATGGGGTCAATTTAAATAGAGGGATGCCAAATTGAATTTTACAAATTGTTGTTGCACTGGGGTTTAGGGTTTATCCCCTTGCCGGCAGCACCTGGTGTGCCTTTATATGTGCAGGAAGCAGAGAATTGTTGCAAGGTAGAGAAAGGAGGTGTTCTAATTGCCAACCCATGGATTAGTGTGTTACCTCTGCCCCCATTTAGCATTAAATGTGCGGGACTCACGGATGTGTTCAGTTATAATAAAATACATGATTTGTTAAAACCTTTCCTTTGATTTCTAGGTACAAACCGCCCACCACCGAGAACTCCCCGACCCTAGATGATCCAACTCCAGACTATATGAATCTCCTGGGCATGATCTTCAGTATGTGTGGCCTTATGCTTAAGGTGAGACATTTTTTAATAAATGTCCTTTCATTACTTCATAAAAAAAGAAGTCTACATTTTTAGTTCCCTTATTATACAGTGTGTTTAGTTTAAAATGTCTTATCTCTTACTCTGTTAAATTCCTACTCGAGCCTGTAGTGTAGAAGATTCTGATGTGGGAGTAAAGTTCATGTAACAGAGCAGAAGATAATATGCATAGTAGGCAATTTTTAAAAATGTGGTTTATACTTGGTTTTGTAAATAGATGATCCCTTTGGTTCTTGTGCTGTAAGTATCTGTCTGGCCACTTTTTTTTATTTATATTTTTTTGGGGGGGGGGAGTGTGAGGATTTTATTTATCAGAATGAATACTGTTAACTGAAAAAAAAAAAAAAAGTCATGCCGAATAAAACAGGCTTAACAGATACTTGTAATTTAATTATTTTATAAAACATTGGTGAATGTGCCTTGCACCCTCCAGGCTTGCAGGTGGGGAATGACTTTTAAAGTCTAGCTACTAGCTGTAGCCATGCATTTTATGTTAGGCAATGATAAAATGCTGTTCCATTTATCTATTGTAAATGCTCACATATGGATTTAAACATTTGCTATTTATTGGTGCCGGTGAGTGTCTGTCTCAGCCGGTTCATAGTTGGTTATAAATTTATTTTACAAATGTCTAAGCTGTCCCTTGACACTTTAAACTCTGTGTCCTTTTTTTACCCATCAGTATTACTTGGGTTATTATTTGAGCCATCTTTTCATGTTACATGTGTGTATGCGTGTGTCATACAAGTGACTGGAGATAAGACCATCAAAAGAGGAAGAACTGTAATCTCTAAGTGAACATCTGATCTACATCTGATATGTTTTTTTTGTTTTTGTTTTTTCTGTTAATAAATTGTACGTTGTAAAAGTTAAAATAGTGACCCACTAATGAACACTTACATTCAGAATATCTTCTTTATAGCAAAAGCTTTAAAAGAACAACTTTAGCTTAATGAAGTGGTTTTGGTGTATAGCTCATGCCTATGCCATTTAGGGGCTAAATTACATTGTTTATGCAGTCTTAGTAACCCGTTCCTTGGCTGTAACTAACACAGCCTGCATGGGGAAAAAAAGGTTTAATATTATAATGAGATCTTACGGCACATTGTGTTTATTTTAGAAGTTAATATCTCCTGCTTGGTTTATTGAGCTTTAAAGGGCCACTAGAATCACCTAGCTCACCTTATCGCATTCAAGTTGTCTGGGTTCAATGGTACTGTCCTTGTAACACTTCCATATAAAACATTGGCATTTTTGTAGAAATTGCAATCAAATTTTGGGCGAGTGCAGCTTCTGGTCACGCATTCGTATCTTGTCCATCAATGTATTTCGCAGTAACCAGTCTGCTAGCTCAGTGGTTACTACTCCATACATAGTCAGCATCCCAGACTTGATTTCTAGTAGTTTCAGCTTAGTTTTCATTCTTTCAAGGTTAATAAAATGAAGACCATTAAATGACCACTATAGTGTCAGGAAAACATACTCGTTTTCCTGGCACTATAGTGCCCTGAGGGTGCCCCCACCCTCAGGGTCCCCCTCCCGCCGGGCTGGATGGAGAGGAAAGGGTTAAATCTTACCTCTTTTCCAGCGCCGGGCGGGGAGCTCTCCTCCTCCTCTTCGGCTGAATGCGCATGCGCGGCAGGAGCTGCGCGCGCATTCAGCCAGTCTCATAGGAAAGCATTCATAATGCTTTCCTATGGACGCTGGCATCTTCTCACTGTGATTTTTCACAGTGAGAAGCACGCAAACGCCTCTAGCGGCTGTCAATGAGACAGCCTTGAGAGGCTGGATTAACCCATTTATAAACATAGCAGTTTCTCTGAAACTATGTGTGTGTGTGTATATGTATATATGTATATGTGTGTGTGTGTGTGTGTATATATATATATATATATATATATATATATATATATATATATATATATATATATATATGTATATATATATATATATATATATGTATATATGTATATGTGTGTATATATATATATATTTATTATTATAATAATAATAAAAAAAAAGGGGGGGAAGGGTTAATCCTAGAGGGACCTGGTACCCAGACCACTTCATTAAGCTGAAGTGGTCTGGGTGCCTAGAGTGGTCCTTTAAGTTGGATAATAACATCTTCCACCTAAGATTAAATCACATTAAGTGATATGGCATCTTTATTAGTTTTAGATCTTTGTACATGTACATCCTTGGCTTTTAAACTAGCACAACTGAGGGGTCTGTAGGAGAAATGTTGGTATTGGTGGTAGGAAGAAAGGACGTGAGCTGTGCTTCAGATCTTGCATGTGTGCAGTAAAATTGCATTAAGTATGTGGATTCTAGTTTTGATGTATGTTTTAATCATTTGATGGGTTTTTCTGTCTTCACACCAAGACAAAAAGCTGTGAGGAAAAAAACCCACCTTTTTAGTTGACTGTCTTTTATAGCATCGCTTGTCACCAGGGCCAATAACATTTTTAGACTTGCACATGTTTTCCATTCTCATATACTTTTAATATTCTTTTCCCATCTTACAGCTAAAGTGGTGTGCGTGGATTGCGGTTTATTGTTCTTTTATCAGTTTTGCAAATTCCCGCAGCTCGGAGGACACTAAACAAATGATGAGCAGTTTTATGTGAGTATGATCTCTTGGGTATACTAAATGTACATGTCAGAAATATGTAGATAAAA